CCTCCCATACGTCTTGATAATATTCCCACAAATCGGTGCTCATGTCTGACCATGTGGCTTCCCAAAATTCTTTGGGAAAGCCGTCAATGCCGGGGGTTTTTTCTTCCTTCATCTGGAGGAGCGCGGTCCATACCTCTTCCTTGGCGAGCGGTATCTCCAGTTCGTCCCGCTGTTGGGGGGAAATTGAGCGATCCATTGAGGAGAGAAATTCTTGTAATTCCCTGACTCTCGCTTCCCCCTGCGGGGATGGGATTTGAGAGTTGTACAGCTGCTTAAAGAATTTCCTCGTAATTAATGTGCAATGTGCAGTGTCAGTGGCGATGGTGTTACAATTTTCTGGGTCAAAGAAAGCTTCAATAGTTGTCCGTCTAGCTCTAGCGGTGGCCATCGAGAAAAATTGTGTGTCCATTGACGCTTCATGTGTTAGGTGGTTCATTTTCCCTCGGATTCTAATACCTTGCCATCTGTGTAGTGCAAATTGTAAGAGTTGGTCTTTCTTGTCTTGGATAGTTGAGATGAGATGGTGCTGGTCTTGGGTGGGAGTAGTAAGCTGTAACGACTCTACCTGCTGTTCGAGGTTCATTAGTTCGTTATGAGTGGTCATTTCTTGGTATCGTCGTAGTGCTGCTTTGGCTTTGGAAAAATCCTTACATTTCTTTGCGAGGAAGATTAGACCATTGTTAAACCAGATTAGTTGCGAATCGAAAAGATGCTTCTGCTGCCGCCAGAAGTTCCATTCATGTCTGATCATCTGCGAGAAGGACGAGTCCTTGAGCAGGGAGGTATTAAGTTTGTAGAAGACCGGTCCTTGGTCAGGCCTTTTCCTCATAGTTAATACAACATGTTTTATGGTCCAGTCCAGGATACGGGCTACGCGGGAGAATCAGTGCCCATCGCAGTGCCCCTTCTAGATTATTGGATAGCAGGATAAGATCGATTCTGGATTTGGATAAGCGCGCCGGGTCATTATCGCGTATGCATGTAAAGATTCGTGTTTGGGGGTGCAGCCGTCGGAAGGTGTCAAAGACCGAAAGCGATCCGCAGAGGTCGGCGATCATTTGTTCATCCTCTGCCGCCGCGAAGGAGGGTGATTCCTGGGGTTTCCATCTGTCCAATCCCTTGTCGGGGGTGGCATTGAAATCTCCTGCAAGGACCAAGGGGATGCCCTTCGGGACTTGCATACCGATCCTTCCCAGGAATTCCCTCCTTTCCCCTACTGTGTAAGGAGAATATATGCAGATGATGCAAAGCAATTCTAGTTCCAACATGCCCAAGACTGAGGCCCAACGTCCCTCTTCCTCATCCACGACCCAGTGGACAGGCTCAAATCTAGAGTCAGGAGGGACCCAAATTGCTACCCCTGCTGAGCCGGGTCTGGTGGCGTGTGCTCTTATAGCTGTGTGGGGCCAGATTTGCTTTAGCGCTCTGTTATGTTCCGAGTTGTCTAACAAATGAGTTTCTTGTATGCAAATTACGTCTGGCCATCGTCTGCCTCCAACACCTTTGAGTTGATCCCAAATCGCTTGGCGCTTTTCAGGTTTGCATGATGCCAGGCCGTTAACGTTAATGGAGCGCAGGTCCAGGTCTGCCGAATCGACGCATTTGCGCCACGTTGGGTTCTTGCAATATAGCGTGTCTAGGTCGTCCATTTCTAATTTCTTGTTTTAATGGATACGTTAGTGTGAGCTCTTTGGGGTCTCCGTCCGTCAAGGTGTGTCATAGCGGGTGCCAATGTTTCAGGTCCCATCTGTCGAGGTGTAATACTTTTTCTCGTGCTATTCGACACAGGCAGCGACACACATCATCTTCGGACCAGAAGTCGCTGGCTTTAATCTTGGCACACTGCAGGTCCAAGAGAGCGTTGTGGCTAAACCAGCCTAGATCAGAGGTTTTATTGTGGTCAAAGAGCAGGTACAAGTCATTCCGCGCTATTTGTTCGTTGGACGTTTCAAACCTGAGTCCTGCCCTTGCACCCGGGGAGTAGTGTTTGGGGATGAAAGTTGACATTTGGTCGGAGAAAACCCTGCCACTTTCCATGCTGTCCTTTTCGTGGAGGGAGAATTCCCAGCCGTGCATCGTTACCCCCTCATAATCCCCCACCGGGGAGAGACCCAACTCCCATTTCCCTTCCGCTTTCCTGAGGGGGATTACCATCACCCCATTTAGCTTGGAGAGAGGTGGTTCGAAGAGGCCCCTTTCAATGAGCTGCCTAACTTTAAGTCTTCGAGAGGCCATCCCTTCCTCTGTTGTTCCTTTTCCGTTATTCGGCACTGCGCGCGAGGATTCGTGTCCAGAGGGTGGAGCAGCTGGCTCCGGTGCGGGAGGCGGGTGAAATCGTCCTCGGGCGACAACCAATATGCGTTGAAATGCTTCAGCCCATGTTAAATGGGGGGGGGGGGGGGGGGGGGGGTGAGCGCATTCCTTAGGGACGATCTGTTGTTGAGGAGGGCTACTAACTCAACGTAAGATGTGTCCCAGTACTCTTCACCTTAATGAGGGCAGTCCGTTTGGAGATGTTTTAGAATCCAATCTGCCACCACCTGGATTTTCTGGTCCAGGCTCATTTCCTGTGGGGGGGCATCCGGGTCCGACGGGTCTTTGGGGGGCTCTTCCATCTCCATGTTGGGCGGCGGGGGGGTTGTGTCCACGTCCATTTGCTGTGCCCTCTGAACAGAAATCAGGGGCCAGCTGATCTGGCTGTTGATGGCCCTGCCCTTCTGGCTGAGGTTGGGGGGAATGCGGGTGTAGCTGCTGTGCATGTGGCGGGTGTTGTTCCAGCAAGTGCGGTGGCCGGGTCCTTGATTGCTGCTTCAGCCTCGTACCATGCTGCTTTTCCGGGAGCATGTCCCTCTCTTTCCCCCCCTCTGTCATTTTGTGTACCTCTGTTAATGAGATGGGCTGCGTGTCTGACAGGCTACTTGTCCCCTTGTCCTCAATCGGCAGGCTCGACTGTGCTGACGATGGCTGATCCCCCTTTTTGGGCAGGTCCTCTTCAATAGAGACCTCCTCCTGGGTTTTCTGTGTCTCCTGGAGTGGACTCGCCCCATCACCCAGACAGTCAGAGTGGTTGCCGTGATCCCCGACACCTTTTTTTGTCTCCACCAATTTCTTCTGCGGGGGTTCCTTCTTTTTGTTGCCGACTGCTATCCAAGTACCCTGTTTTTTTCCCTTGGGGGGGGGTTGCAAGTGCGATTCCAGTGATTTGGGGGGGACCCAGTTGGACGGTGGCTGGGAACCCAGCCGTGGATCCCCCCGCCCTTCCCATGTCCAGCCAACTACATCCCCCTCCTTCCCCTCTGGTTTGTCTATGTACACCCATCCCTCATATCCAGGATCGACCGTCCTCCAACTGGCTTCCTCGAAGGGGTCCTTTCTCAAACGTCCTGTGGGTTTTGTTGTGCGCGAGGGATGTTGGCCACAGGCTGTGTCTGTGTAAAGGTGCCCGTAAGCCTGGCACTTAAAGCACCAGGGTCTATGTTTGTGGGCGGTGTGGACCCTATACAGCTTACCCCCCACACAGAAGGGTATCACGTCGTCAATCGAAAAAACATGCTCGTCGGCCAGGTTGATGGCCAGCATTAAGTAGTCGTCCCTGCGTGCCACATGAGGGGGGAGCGGGTCGATGAAGTCAATTATGTCATATTTCTCGGCAATGTCCTGGACGAAGGCGGCCTGGATCTCAATCGGGATGTGACGGAATTCTATCCAGAAGTGCTCTCTCATCAGTTGCTCCCTGCGGTCTTCAGGGCGTTGCGGTTTCGGGGGGGGCCATGGATAGATGCGGACCTCTGATTTGTCACACCGCAGTGATCTCCATCCATCCATTGTTTTTTTATCCGCCTCTGATACACAGAGAACTGTGATGACAGATGACGAGGCTGGTTGGATTAGGAACCGTTCGCGTGCATTTGCCGGAGATCCTTTGAATGCAGCTAACCGTTCCCTGATCCACCCAACCTTATCATTGGTAGATTTGAAAGTTGCGTCGTCGTGGAAAGCCCAGTTACTTGCATGGTGAGTATAAATGAATTCTCTAGTTCTCACTGCCTCATCAGGCAGAGCTCTGACAATGGTCGGCTTGCCCCCCTGCTGTAAAATCCTGTTTTCCGGGGTGGCTAGGAGGCGAGAGAGGAAGAACGCCCGTGCCGTTGTCAAGTTCCCCACTGGGATCTTCCATTCTTCCTCCCTCCCCCCGCTCGTCCCCTCCTTCCTACGTCTGACCGTGATGCTTGCTTGGGCAGGTTGATCCTTCACCTTCTCTGCCCAGGATTGGATGGTCGGATCCTGGGAAGATAGGCCTTGTTTAGCCTCCATAGCCGGTGCCTTTCTCTGTTATCTCCCGGGTTGGCCCTCTTTTCCTTTGTGCCTTGAGAAGACGAGCTTAGATCGGTCTGGGTGGCTGTTATCTGCTGATCCCCCCCATTATTACCCACGTCTTTTCCCTGATCCCCCCCTTTATCGCCTACCTTTCTCCGATCCCCTTCCCCATCCAGACGATTCTGCGCATATTGTCTGACTATCCCCCGGTACAGTAGCATTGAATCGAGCCTTTTGTGTGCCCTCTGTTGGCGGGGCTTCATGTTGTTGCTCACCATTCTAATATGTCGTGTGCCCGGATTCCACGCTGTGTGGCAGGACTGGTCCCTCACTCACTTCAGCCTAGGCGGGGGTACACTAGCAGAGTTGGAGCTGTTTCGCAGTCACCCTGAGTGGCAGGACCAAACCTTCACTCTTTCCAGCCTGAGAGGGAGGGTATTAGCAGGGTAAGGGTTGGGATTGATCGGGAGAAGAAGTAGTGGGGGTGGATTCAGGATCGAAGGCGGGCGGGATGTAGATCGAGCGGGGCGTAAGGGTTGGGATGTGATCGGGAGAAGAAGTAGTGGGGGTGGGTTCAGGATCGACGGCGGGCGGGATGTAGATCAAACGGGGTCGGGATCGCGGGGGGAAGCAGGGGGAGGAGTCGAGGTGTGGGGGTCAATCGGGGATAGCGGGGGAGACAGGGTCGGCACGCGTGGAGGGATCGAAGGACCGGGGTCAGGGTCGGGATCGAGGTCGGGGTTGATCACGGAGTCGATCGGGGGTGGGAGGAGTCAGGGTCAGAGAAGTCAGGGTGTGGGGGTCAATCGGGGATAGCGGGGGAGACGGGGTCGGCAGGCGTGGAGGAATCGAAGGGTCGGGGTCAGGGTTGGTTGATCAGGAACGAATCCGTGGGAGTGACGGGGTCGGAGGTGGGCGGGATCGGGGTCAATCGGGAATCGATCGGGGGTGGGAAGAGTCGGGGTCGGAGCGGGTCTCGAGAAGGGATAGTGGGATCGAGAGTCGGGAGCGGGAGGGGGAGTCGAGGTCGGGATTGGATCACGGAGGGGACGGGGGTCGGGATCGATCGGGAAGGATTGGAGATGGGCGGGATCGAGAAAGTCGGGGTCGGGGTTGATAACGGCAGGACGGGTCAGAGGCGAGGTCGGGATGGGGTCGGGGTTCACGGAGGGCGGGGAGGAACGGGATCGGAAGCAGAGGGGAAGAGGCACGACGGGGTCGGGATCGGAAGTGGGGAGGGGGAGACGGTGGGCGAAGGGGGGCGGGGTCTGGAAAGACAGGGTCGGGACTGATGTCCCTGAGATCGAGATGGTGGGGGAGAAGCCCGGCGGGGTCGGGATCAGAAGCGGGGGGGGGAGTAGCCGGGTTCAGGGTCGAGATCTAGGTGCGGTCGGGATTCACGGTGGGCAAGGGGGAACGGGGTCGGCAGTGGGGGGAGAACAGGGCGGGGTCGGGGCCGGGATCAGAGGTGGGGGGTGAGGGTCGACTATGGGGGGGGGTCTTCGATCTTGAGCCACCAACCTCGCGCGGAGTCTTCGAACTTGAAGTGTTTTGTCGCTTTCCTTCAAATCTTCTGTACAAACGCTGATGCGAACGCGACGGACCAGTACACGTGGCAAGTGTATAAGCGACCTGCCTCCCTCACCGCGCCGGTTTCCCAGCGCGGGGCCCCAAGGGGGGCGGGTCGCGATATACTCCCCACGTCCGTTGTCCGTACCTTGATGTCCTCTGTCCTTGTTAGTTCAACCGCCTGCTTCCGTCGCAGTGAGTCTGGTAGACCACCATCACCTCGGTTTTCCACCTTTGCGGTCTCTCACCCTCTCTTCGGAGCACTCGCTATGGTAGGTCCTGCGCGCCGTTTTACCAACTGGAGGCAACCTCGACACGGGTATTCCTTCGCTCCCACTATTCTTTTCCTTCCTTTGCCCCTCCTCCCTTCGTGTCATCCGTAGCGGTTTCGCACTCCCTACCTTGGCGAGCCAAGCGCGCGCTTCCAACGCAAGCCCGTTGCGCCGTGGGCGCTAAGCGGCGATTTCAAGGTTATTTTTGGACAACTGGATATTCTGTCGATATGAGGCGACAAAGAAGAGTCTGATTGATGGCATGGGTAGGAGATATTAGGAACAGGGGCTGGCTAACTTCGCTAAATGAGAGGTTAAGGGGAAACTTGGGGATGCATATGTGTAGTGCCTAAACTTAAGGATGTGGGAAAATGGCAGCCAATCTGCCCGTCGTTTGCAGATTGTGGGGTTAGTGCAAGCATGAAGGTCTCGAACGTCATTAACCAAATGGCATGGGATTTGTCGGTTGGTTCTCACTTCAGTTTGAAGAGTACTGATCTTCTTCGGGATGGTCTTCGACGGGTCAATGGGGACCTGAAGGGTGGGGAAGGATGGGTGACTACGACATACGACATAAAAGAAATGTTATATAACTTGTCACATCAATCCATATTGAAGGCGGTGGAGTGGGTGACAGACTGATGAGTGGCATGTTGGTTAAAAAACTGGGAAAAAGGGCGAAATTGCAGAATGGTAAGAAGTAGGAAGGATGGGATACTGTTGATTTTTTGACTATTCGAAGATGCGTGGATTTTGATTTACACAACACCTTCGTTTGTGTGGCTGGCGTTGTGTTGCAACAAATTGTAGGCATACCAATGGAGAAACCATCTAGCCCGGCCCTTGCCTGTCTGATGTTTGCACATTCTGAGTTTGTTTTCCTGGATTCCCTTGGAAAAGATAGGAAGTTGTTTCAACTGCCATTTCGTCAAAATGGACATCTTTCATTTTTTGAATGAAATTGGAACCGAGTTTTTTGGCCGAAAACTCGTCAAAGTTTGCTGTTCCTGAGGGTCCGGCGTTTGTAAAACGCTGGACCTCCTGGCTGTACATGGACCTAGCTTGAGACCAGGGACATCCAGGCAGTCCTGGACCCCCTGGCTATACATGGACCTAGCTTGAGACCAGGGACATCCAGGCAGTCCTGGCTGGATGTCCCTGGCCTAAAGCTAGGTCCATGTACAGCCAGGGGGTCCAGCGTCTTACAAATGCCGGGCCCTCAGGAACAACAAATTTTGACAAGTTTTCGGCCAAAAAGCTCGGTTTCAATTTCGTTCAAAAAATAAAAGATGTCCATTTTGACGAAATGGTCGTTTTTCATGGCTTACCTCTAGTTGACGATGTCTCTATCTTCGCCAGGTTCAAGCATGGCAATGAGGGATCGAAAGCCAAGGCAGAGTGTTTGGTGAAAAATTTTGAGGAGAGTTATGATCGGAATCTGGAATATACCAATCGCTCCAACTGTTGGGAATTTTTGGGTTGCGTTATTAAGGACTTTGGATACCCGATAGGTGTGAAATGTGCTGCTGTGCACAAGAATCAGAGAGGGATTCTGCAGGGGATTAAGTTTCGGCACCTGCAAGATGCATGTTCTTACACTGACAAGCAACAAAAATTGGTTGTTATAGGATCCTTCCTACATAGGGTCAGGCGTCTTACGGATATGCCGGGTGCGAAATTGAGTTTTCTGTTTTCCCTGAAAGTTGAGTTGAGGTTGTGTGGCTTCAAAGATGTTTTATTTGACAACGTAGTGAAGAATTTTTCGAGCAAGTACAAGGGAACTTGGCAAAATTGGGTCGACTGTCTGACAGGGTGGGATTGTTTACTCTTTGAGACTGATGAGTGTCGCCCTGCGTATGCAGGGGGCAGAAGTGGACCTGGATTCTGGAACCTGATAGGCCAGGGGGTAAAAGGTTCCATTGAGGGAGCAAAAGTGGACCTGGATTCTGGAAACCTGATAGGTCAGGGGGTAAAAGGTTACATTGAGGGTTTTTAGTTTTAGGGCTTGGCGGTCCAATGTTATTACCGATGGATAAAGGGTCTGAAGGGGTGGGTAGGCCCCGATTGAGACCGAGACTAGAAATTGACGAGTCGCGACCTATGCAGCTCTAACTTAGGACTAACGGCTGTTTCTTTCCTACTTATATGCCGACTGCACTGTTCAAGCACCGGACTGTGGCAAAGAAGACCCCTGAAGAGTCCAGCATTGGCGGCCGGATGAAACACTTAGGGTCCATCGCCATATAGCTCGACACGTTTTTCAAGATTATTGGCCCCCCGCCAACTTTGGTTCAAGCCTAATGAGTGTCCCTCATGTTTATTATGAATACCCATCCTATCATGTTCGGGTTTTTTGAATTAGTGTGTTGACGTGCTTCTTTCTCTCTCTTCCTTCTCTCTTTCTCTCTCTCTCTCTCTTTTCTCTCTCTTTCTCTCTCTAATCCCTTCTTCTTATCGTCACAAACAACTTTCTTCATAGGCTTTTGCCAATGTCTTGATATTGTTCTATGTCCTTGAGGCTAGTATGGATGTATGAAGTTTTCTTCAAACTGCCTTCACTTAGGGCGGGCACATGCCAAAAATGCGGCCCTTAGGCCTGCCAAGGAGCCAAATCCTCGCATTCCTTCCTCCTCTACTTCGATAGTCCACTGAGAAGTCCTTTAGTTTGCAGGCATCTTCCCCTTAAGTCTTTTTTCATTTCCTGCAATCACGGGGGCGAGGGTGGAGGGGCGGGG